CTGTCATCTATTTTGTCTTCTACTTTGTGTGCTTCCTTGTTTATATTTGGTAGTATGTGTATGCCCTGAAGTAGAGCCCTCACGTTTGTCCCAATCTTCTCATTAATAATTATAGCTCTGGGATTCATACTTAGGTCTCTGATTTATCTTGAGTTCATTTTTGTGCATGTAAAAAAGTAAGGGTCCTGTTTCTTTCATGTGCAGCTAAAGATCCAATTTTGCCAGCACCATTTGTTGAAGAGGCTGTCTCTTTCACATTTAATATTTTGGCCATTTGTTGATAACCAGTTGTGTGTAGGTGCATACATTTATTTCTGGAGTTTCTAATCTGTTACATTGGTCAATGTATCTATGATGTTACCAGTACCAGGCTGTTTTGACTTCTGTGGCTGTGGAATAGGGTTTGAGGTTGAGTAGCGCAATGCCTCTTACTTTACTCATATGCTTCTTTATAAGGAGACTTTGGCTTATCCTGTCTCTTCCTTCTTCATGTGAAGTTGACAATTAGTTTTTCCATTTCTTTAAAGAATGTAGTTGGAATTTCAATCAGAGTTGCATTGTATTTATAGATTGCTTTAAGTAGTATTGACATTTTCATGGTGTTAAGTCTTCCTTTCTATGAACACAAGCTATCCTTCCATTTGGGTAGGTCTCTTTCGATTTTGTGTAATAGTGTTCTGTGGTTTTCTTATTCTGAGATTTAAAAAGATTATTTTTCTTCTGAAATTTCCTCATGTATTGGAATCCAATGGATTTCTGTTTGTTAATTTTGTATCTTTCTATTTTGCCAAATCCCTAAATTGTTTCTAACAATCTTTTTTTGGAGTCATTTGGGTCATCTACATATAAAATCATATCATTTTCAAATAGTAAGACTCACTTCTTCTTTGCCCAGTTGCTGGGTCATATGGTAACTCAGTTTCCATCTGTTTTAGATATCGCCAGATCGATTTCCATAGTGGCTGTACATACTTAGAAGTCCACCGGCAGTGGATGAGAGTTCCTGTCTCCCCACAGCCCCTCCAACACTTGTTGCTTTCTGATTTTTTTAATTGGGCTCTCTTTGAGGGTGTTAGGTGGTACCTCATTGTTGTTTTAATTTGCATTTCTCTTATGGCTAAAGATCAGGGACATTTTCTCATATGTTTGTTAGGCATTCGGATTTCTGCCCCTGTGAAACTTCTGTTCAGGTCCTTTGCCCACCTCCTCAGTGGCCAATTAGTTTTTTTCATTTTGGAAGCTAGCAGAGTATTGTAGATTTTAGTAATAAGGCCTTCGTCTGATGTGTCATTGCTAAAGATATTTTCCTGGTACATGGACTCTCTTATTACTCTCTTGGTGAATTATTTTGATGTACACAGGTGTTTTATCTTCAGTATATCCCATTTGTCAAATTGTGCCTCCTCTGTGTTTGTGTCCTTCCCTATTTCTGATAGTCTATGTATTCCCTGTGCCACAGTTCTCAAGTTAGCCCCAATTCCCTCATTGATGGCCCTAAAAGTTTGGGGTTTAACTTCAAAGTCTGAAGAATCAACTTCTTGTTGAAGTTCTTTCATCACTTTTCTGTTTTCCATTTCATTTCTTTTCTATCTAATCTTTGGAGGTTTTTTCCCTCTTGTTGCAAAGTTCATATTGTTGCTCGCTCTAGTTGTTTGAGGTATTGTGTTGAAGTGTTCATTTTAGATTTCTCTTCTTCTTTTCATATGTGTGTTGATTCTTGTAAATTGTACTCTGATAACTGCTTTTGTTGTGTCCCAAGATTTGGGTATGTTATGTTATCATTTTTGTTTGTTTCAAGGGATTTCTTAATTTCATCCATTATTTGATCTACTAACCAGTCATCTTAACTAGTATATTATTCAGTTTTGATGCATTTCACTTTTTGTTCTTGTTCTTTCTATTGCTGATTTCCAGTTTTATAGCATTGTGATCTTGGAAAATGGACTCTGGGATCTCAGGCTTTGGGGTGTTTTGTTTTGTTTAATTTGTAAGGTTTACTTGTTGGCCCAATATGTAGTCTGTTCTACAGTATGTACCATGTGCACTGGAGAAGAATTTTTCTCCAATGTTGTCAGGTAGAATGTTCTGTATAAGTCTAGGAGATTTAACTGGTTGATTATGTTGTTTAGCTCTTCTGTTTCTTTATTGAGTTTCTTTTCTGATGAACTGTCTTTCATTGAAAGTGGCATGTTCAAATTTTATACAATTGTTGTTGAGCTGTCTATTCTCTTCAACTCTGTGAGGGTTTCACTGATGATGGGTTACTGGGTTATCTAGGTGTAGTTGGCTCTGTCTTGTGCTATGTAGGAGATCTAATAGGAACTTCACAAAAAGGATAGAGAAGGTTTATTGGGTAATGCGGAGGGGAGAAAAGAATGAATTAAATGAAAGTAATAATAATAAGGGGGCAAAATTATTTAAATAGGAGAAAATATATCTCGGAGCAGTAATAAGGATTAATATGTATTGTGGAAATATATTTCGTGAGAAAAGAAGAAAGAGATAGTGGGTAGAGCAGGAAAAAAGTATAAGCAACAGGAAGATTTATGTATATAATTATAAGAAGGAATAGAATGAAAGAAGAGAAACAAAGAAAAGAGAGGAAGAAGGAAAATGAGGGTGAAAAAGATAAAGATGAAAGAAAAAGACAATTAAAAGGGAAAATTGTAACTGTGCAAAGAGAAATAAAATCAAAAGACAGGGCATGGCTTGGGTGTGGGTATAGAGTTATGTTGCTAAGGAACTTGAAAGTGAGCAAGCCTATGCCCTCAGGAGAAAAGAGAAAAGAACCCTGTTTTACAAAAACCTTATTGTGATGGGTCTGCCTGGATCTGTGGGCATTCTTGTGTTAGCATGGGAGCCATGCAGGTCCACAGGTGGGTGAGGACACATGGGAAGGGAAAATAAGAGGAAAGGGGAATCATAGAATAAAACAAAACACAAAAGCCAAAAATAAGTTCATTAATTAAATTAAGTGAAAAAACAAAAAGCACAGTTTGAGTGGGAATTCCTGATCTGAGGATGAGCACATTAAGGGCGGAGCCTTGGAGAAGGAAAGGAGGGAGGAAGGGAGGAGGCAAAGAAAAGTGGAAGGAAAGAAGAATTGGAGAAACTCATTGCTTGGGTAGTGGGGATTTCTACACCAAACTGACCATGTGATCTGCTATCCATGCAGGGCCCCCAGAGGCTAGATATTTGGTCCCCAGCTAAAATATTTGTCTGGGTGGGTTGGACTGGAGGCAGGGAAGTATCCACTTATGCAAGGGAGGGGGGGTGCACAAAAGCATCTCAAGTCACTGGTCAATGTTGAAGAAGAATCAATAATAATCACCAGGCATTGTTGATCTCCAACTTTAAGAAACTGTGGTGTATTTAGCATGTACATTCTTTGCCTAGTTTCCAGCAAGTACAAGACTTCTGGTTTCTCTCTAATAGTTGCTGAGTTTATTTTCCCATGCTTGTTGCCTGGTGGTCATATCCCTAAGTCTCTTCTATAAACTACTGAACACCCTTCATATACAGCAGTTTCTCACCCTCATATTAGTGCAGCTTGCACACTGTGTCAATTTGTATATAACTTACTAGTCGACACATAATTTAAAAGGCACAGACCACTGTCCTGATCCCATAGCCTAAAAAGTGTTCAGTTCACCTGAGAATATCTCTTATTTAAACCTGGAGATATGTTGTTGAAGTGCATGACATTTTATTAAGGGATACATGCAAATTAAACAGCCACCAGAAGGGGAAAAAAATCTAACTGTTGTAGGTCATCTATAGTGTCCTTTTCCTACAAGAAAACATAATTTTGCATATAAACACATAAGGTAATTTATCCCAGCTTTAAAGACTCTAAAACTGAAGTTATTGTCTGTATTCCAGGTGGAAGCCATTGCTATCTCAGCCTCAAACCTCTCCCAAGATTCCTTTACCAATCACTGAATAACCTGTTTGTTTTCTCTACTGAATTATAAAGTCTTTAAGAGAAGTATCCTATTTTATTCAAATTTGTCATTCCAATTAGTCAAAATGTAGAATTCTAGTTTTTAAACTACATTAAACTTCTAGGAGGGTCCTCCAGAGGATTGTATAAACCCAGTCTCTCACCTATAAGCAGTAGAATTAGATCAATTAATTAAATTTAAAAACAAACATGTTAAGCTAGTCAATATTATGTTGTGATACAAAGACTTATTAAAGACGCTAGGAGCCTTGGTTGCACAAGTATTAAGCATTTGGCTGATAACGTATAGCTTGTGGTTCAGAACCACTCATTCATTCTACAACACAATGGGTTGATGACCTGCTTTTGTAAAGACTGCTGCTGTGGACTATTGAGTCCTACTGGGCTTTCCATCTGTATGATAGCAGATCACCAAGTCTTTTCCATATAGCAACTGGTGTGTTTTCACTCTCAAACTTTAGATCTGCAGCTGAGTACTTAGCCATTGTGTCACCAAGACTCTCTCCGTAAAAGATTACAGCCTAGACAATCATATTTATAAGTTCTACTCTGTCATATGGAGTTTCCACAAGTCAGATATCAACTTAGTAGTCCCCAAAGCAACATTAAAACAATATGTTCCCCAGGGGGGTGAAGGGAGACATTGGACGGTATAAGACATGAAAATAATAATAATTTGTAATTTATCAGGGGTCCATGAAGATGGGAGGGTGGGGAAGGAAGGGAAAAAAGAGGAGCTAATACCAAGGGCTCAAGAAGAAAGAAAATGTATTTAAAATAATGATGGCAACATATGTACAAATAAGTTAGAGACAATTGATGTATGGATTGTTATAAGAGCTGTAAGAGCCCCCAATAAAATGATTTATTTTTAAAAAACTACAATATGTTCAAACTCTAAACTTCTAGCTTTTCTTCATTTTCAATAATATAAACATTTGAGGAGCTGATTCACTCTACATGGGCTATCTGATTGTTAAAATATAAATTACTTAATTTGGGGATTTTTTACCATGGAATATATGCTTATTTCCAGTTACCGACCTGAAGATTGCTTCACTGTGGACCCTGACTTGGATCCCAAACGCTTTAGAATTAATGACATCTTGTTCCTCTTTCGTACCCCTGAATGTGCAAGGTACCTCACTACTTACTAATCATGTAGTAATGTCTAAGACTTATGTAAGTGATCTAGAAATTGTTCTCCCTACCTTCAGAGTAAGGAAGTACAATTAAGGAAAGACATCGGTTGGGTTGACTACCTCATTTTAGCTGTCTGCCTATACCATTACTTCTTTCATATGTGGGCTGGTTCCCTTACTATGTCAGCCTCACAATTTCCTTTATAGCAGCAGCAGAGATGGAAAATGCCCACCTGTCTACCTTTAGTCAAAATCTAGTATGGGAGACTGAAAAAAGAAGAATCTATGAGTTTGAATTAGGGTACTGGCAAAGAATATTAAAAGCAACACTCCTAAAGGCCAACAAGCAGTCCTTGAACTAACTACAAGTTTTTCTTTCTTGTTGTGTTGTGTTTTGTTTTGTTGTCATTGGTTTGCTGTTGTTGTTTTGTTTTAGATTGTTGCTCAGTTTTGCTCTGTCTTGTTTTTGTGCATATTATTATCTCCTCAGGTCTGTTTAAATAAGATAGCCTGGATGAACAATCTGGAGGAGAAAAACAATGGGACCAACAGTTCCAGAGAGACATGGGAGAGGGAGAGGTTGGGGGAAAGGTAGTGGTGTTAACAAACCCAGGGACAAGGGAACAACTAGTAATCCAAATCAGTGGTAAGGAGGGGTAGGAGGCCTGGTAGGACGTGATCAAAGGTAATGTAACCAAGAGGAATTACTGAAACCCAAATGAAGCCTGAGCATGATAGTGGGACAAGAGGAAAGTCAAAGGAAATAGAGGAAAGAGCTAGGAGGCAAAGGGCACTTATAGAGGTCTAAATAAAGGCATGTACATATGCAAATATATTTATATGTGAGTATGGGGGTAAAAAAGAATATTGAAAGCACCCCGGACTGCCAAAAGAACAAACGGATCTCTATTTGGAAGAGGTACAGTAAGAATGCTTCTTGGAGACAAGGATGGTGAGATTTAATCTTACATCCTTTGGACGTGTTATCAAGAGAGACTACTCCCTGGAGAAGAGTTTCATGCTTGGTAAAGTAGGTCAGAAGAAAGAAAAAAAAAGAGAAGCTCTCAACAAAATGGATTGACACAGTGGCTACAACAACGGGCTCAAACATAAGAACAATTATGAGGAGGCACGGGACAGGGTAGTTTTTTGCTCTGTTGTCCATTGGGTGACTCAGAGATGATGAAAGAAGAAACAACTAAACTTAAAGCAGAGAAGAATATTCTTGGAGTAAAAGTGAGTATTTTAATTTGTCTTCCTTGGGTCTCCTGTCTCCCTTTGTAGGAGATCAAGCCAGGATTCCATATGCTCTTCATCTCAGTGTGATTCCAGTAGGGGTCCACAAAGCAGCAAGGTAAGCATGAAATGGGGAGGTTAGGTCTTCCTCTTCTAGTCAGTACTACTCCAATAATAGATCACTTTAGCATTTGGGACCCTCCTGTGATTGAATATAAAGATAGAGAAAAATATGTTTGTGGATGTATCTATGTGAAAGTTATTTTTTCCCTTAAAAATAGGTCAGTTTTTCTGTGTTTTAAGTACTTTTACATATGTGAATACTCTATGCATGATTATGAACATTAGTTATTTGTGCTAGGTTTATGGTCATAAAATAATAAAGTACTTTCACAGCATAAATTTTGCTGAAACACTGGTATAGATGGGAATTGGAAATACAGGGAATCCGGGACGGATGAGCCCTATAGGACCAGTGGTGTGAGTGGCGAAACAGGGAGGGTAAAGGGAGAATGGGTAGGAAGAAGGGAGCTGATTGCATGGAACTGTGTGTGTCCTCCTCCCTGGGGGACAGACAACCGAAAGGTGGATGGAGGGAGACGTCGGACAGGGCAAGATATGACAAAATACCCATTTATAAACTATCAGGGGCTCATGCGGGAGGGGGGAGCAGGGAGGGAGGAGAAAAATGAGGACCTAATGTCGGGGGTTTCAATGGAGAGAAAATGTTTTGAGAAACGATGTACAAATGCGCTTTACACAATCGATGTGTGTATGGATTGGGATAACAGTTGTATGAGCCCCTAATAAAATGTTTAAAAAAAAAAGCATGTATTAGTCTAGGTACTTTGGAGAAACAAATCCACAGCGACTCATGTATAAGAGAGAGTTTTATGTAAAGAAAAGGTGCATCACAAAAACATCCCAACCCAATGCTGCCCAAGCACACAAGTCCAACATTAACCCATTAACACAACACCAGTCCATAAAGTCCTCCACCTCACAAAACAGAGGCAATGATGCCGACTGCAGGAGGAAAGCTGAGTCAGTGAACGAACAAGCATCTCAGCACAAGCAGGGGTCTCCACACGGCTGCTCCAGCACCAAGGGCTGCATTGGGGTAGGTCCATGTGGCATCTCCTTGGGGATATCTTGTAGGAAGTCCATCTTGCAAGCTGAAGCAGGGAACTGCTAAGGCAGCTGCACCCGGGGCAACCATCACAAAACAAGAGACCCGAGAACTAGAAAGACGAGCTTCACCACCCATTTATCCCTCCACCTTTCAACCAGCCCCATATGTGATTATCGGCCAGGCTGGCACAATTAACTATCTCAAAGCACTATCCATATTTCAAGGAGACCAGATGGAGGAGTGGCTGCTAACCAAAGTTGGTCGTTCAAATCCACCAACTGTGAGAGAAAGATGTGTCAATCTGTTTCAATAAAGATTTACAGCTGTGAAAATCCTATGGGGTGATTCTAAATTATTTTTAAGTTTAAAATAGAAATTTAACTACTTCAAAAACCCTACACATTCGATATATTTCATTTCTGTACAATGTCATGGAAGTATTGTCCTTTTTCTTCCACTAATATAGGGAAGCAAACAAAGCATCCATGATGCAGAAGTTAAAGGTCAGTATGAAACCCCCCCTCTTTTCTATCGTCAAAATTCCTTTGATATAGGCAGTTTAGGTAATAAAATTATCCGTATGAATACGCACACATTCTTTTGACTGCTGTGTGCTGAGATGCTATACGTAGTTCAAGAGGCACTATTCAGAATACCCATTATCATGCTTGTAAAATGCTGATTCTAGATTTTAACAATATTAATGAACTTCTTAAATTTCAAACAAATTTACCTAAAACTTATACTACAGTTATAAGACAATTAAATGTGTAAGATTTATTATATATGCAAATCTTGTATATCTGGTTTTACCTGTATTTTACAGTGTAGGGCTGTTTTAATAGGACCAAAAATGGGCTTTCCATTTGTACTTCTTTTAGGTTTTCCAATGACCTGGGGTCCCACCTGGGTTTTGCTTTATTTTGTTGTTGTTTTGATGCTTTTGCTTCTGCCATAATTGAAGTATGCAGAGGCTATTAAAAATTCTATGGTAATGAAAGTGCTGGATTTTCTCTTTTCCCAACCTGCTCCATCCTTTATTTCCTATTAAATTCAGAATTCCAACCTGTCGTAAACATCATAGTTTCTTCATTGATTTCCTCAGCAGGTGAGAATACAAATAGTTTAGTGGGAGAACAACAATTCATGGACAAAAAGCAATATGGAGGCTCCAATTTAGTAGAAGCTCAACCACCTATTCTCGCCACTGCACATGAGGATGGGCACCTTCGATTGTGGACTATAGAGGTAATGGAATCCATTATTTACTTACAATAGGAAAGACTGGAAAAGAAAAAGAATTGTTAAATGAATATTTCTTCTTTCATATGCTATCTAATTGTAATGTTCTAGTGTGTTGTTTTTTTAAGTTGTATTTCTTTAAACATTTTTATTATATTTTTATGGAGATATACATCACATATCATATAACTGACACATTCTTCTTGTACTCATTGTTATCAGCTCCCCATTTCCTCCTTTCCTCTTCTGCCATAACCCTAGGTGACTATCAATTCAGTCCGTTACTGTCTCTGTAAATCTATCTGTCTTGGGCTCAAATACAGAGAACTACACAAAATACAAACAGGAAACAAAAGAACAATGACTAGATAAAACATAGATACACCTCCTTCAAAAAGAAAGCATAAAATGTAAAAAACAGAAACAAATTTAATATGAGTCAAAAAGGAAATCAAATGATAATGTTTTACATTTTAACCTAACTACATCTGCTATCATAGACTTTACAATGCTCTCTGATAACAACTCTATTCAGATCTCACAACTATAGTCAGAGGAGATTTACCAGAGGGTTAATCCATGTGTACTCCCTGACAAAGAATCAATGCTGACTCATAGCAACCCTATAGGACAGGGTAGAACTGCTTACTTGGGTTCCAACACTATCTTTTGGGGAGTATAAAGCCTCGTCTTACCATGTTGGAGGCTGCAAATGTATTTTGGGCTTCCACTGTCATCCATGGTCTTCTGCAAACTGAGTACTAACAATTTAAGCTCTAATATAATTCCTTCCTTTGGATTTGGATTTTATTATTTACAATTCTTGGATCACACAGGCTTGTCTGCTCCCAGGTGGCCTTGATTGATACCTCATTTAGATAGCTGCTGTTTTTAAGACAAGCCTTTAAGACCCCAGATGCTATTCTTTCTGATAGCTAAGCACCCTCTGGTTTCTTCAACATAATTTTGCTATAGCATCCATGTCTTCAGCTAAATTGTTGAGTTTGCCAATTTGTAAAGGCAATGAAGGACAGTGGGAACTCAAAACCCATCGGCAGCCTGGTTAAGCCTCTGGTAAAACTCCTCTGGACATAGTTGAGGGACATGAACATCTTTACTATCAGACAAAGCTTATTGTAAACTTGATTATGGTGAATGGAACTACAGGATAATATCATACCTGGTCATTTGACCTTCCTCTTGACCCATCCCGAATTGCTCTAGCTTTAAATATTTTAATTTAAATATTTAAATTAAATATTTTAATTTAAATATTTGTTCCATGACAGGAATTTTCTCTCTGGCTTATTTGAATATTGCTGGTGGTATTTTCTTTCTTCCTCTTTATTTTGATTTTTTAATTTATCTTTTTTCTGTTTTGCTTTTATTGTTTCTATTAAGCTTCTCAGTTTACAAAACACAGAAGGAACAGATGCATAGAGACAATAAGCGATGCAGTGGTTTTTCAGTGACGGGAGGGAGGCTGAAGGGAATTGGAGAGCAAATAATGAATGTCGGAGAGGGAGGGTGCACTAAAACTGATTGTGATGGTGTATAGACAGCACTTTTTTTAACTATGGAAATGTATGATGTGTGAATTTCATATCAATAAAACTATTGGGGAAAAAAGTAATAAAACAAATTGCTGGGTTTGCAACATGTTCACTGATAATACTATTAAAACATGACAGTTTTGTAATTCAAGGGATCAAATAAATAAATAAAACTGCTAAGTTAACTATTTGAAATCTGATCTATTTTTAGGAATAAAATCATATGATTATTTTACTTCATAATTACTTGAATGTTTAATATTCTCCATGCATTTACTATCTTTTTGTGGGATAAAAATGAAATAAGACATGGCTGCTTGGGCCTGTTGTTATTATATGACATCAAGTCAATTCTGACTTACAGGGAAAATTGCCTAGTCCTGTGCTATTCCCACAAGCATTGCTTTGTTGGAGCAAATTGGTGCAACCATTTTGTCAGTTCATCTCAATGAGGATCTTCCTCATTTTTGCTGACCCTCTTCTTTACCATGCATTATATCCTTTTACAAGGACTGATCTCTCATGATGATATGTATAGATTAAGTAAGGTCAAATCTTGCTGTTCTCGATTCTCCAAGACAGATTTAAAAGACGACCTTCTGGCAGACTATACTAT